AAGGAGCTTCGCAACCAGCGACCTTTTACCATACAGAATGATATGGTTGGTGCCTGAAAATGCATACTGTTTAATTACTAAATACGATTTCGGGAATGAATTGAGTTTTTTTTTTTTCGAGCTTTGGCAAATTTTTAAAGAAACTCTGAGAGACTTATGAGGCATAACGAGAAAGGCAGGCGAAACCGAGTTTTCGGAAAAGTCCTTCACTCTCACCTCTAATAGCACCCAGCCTACCAATATAATTGTTCAAGTAGAAAATGTTGCTATAGTGCCTGTCTTACTTTGAAGTTTAGTTTCCAAGTACTGATGTCTTAAAGTTATCCTACTTCACTGAAGATGAAAAACGCATCTTGTACCTATTCACTCCTTGCCTGGCAAGTACAGCGACCTTTTCGGTTCTCAAAATGATGGCGAGCAAGCCAATTAGCAAGTAACTAATCAATACTTGAAATGTACTGCAGCGTTCGCTTAATATTCAAGAACTGTACATTCGGCTGCTGTCGGAAACTGCTATCAGTTGGGTCATTTCACCTCGCATAATAGAGGTTCTGTCATGTGATAAAGGAGCACAGAAAGATGCTTTCCAATCTGGAAACAAAAATCAAAAATACCTTCTACAATTCACTTTCTGGAAATAATCCGAGTGAAAGCACGCATCAACATTAATCATCTGCTGACAAAATTGCCCATTAAACCCCCTTCCGAGAGTTGCTTGGAAGCAAGCTGATAGTAAGTTTGACTGTTGGCAAGTTTGTCATGCCGTCGCAAGGAATGAACAAAACGTAGACATTACTGCCTCCTTGTTGGAGCGGAACCCCAAACTTTCAGCGTGGAAACAGTGCTTTCAGTGCACGATGTCCAGCAGCACTCGCCTGACCAGTGAATGAATGTTTCAGCAGTATCTTTATGTGCATCGAGTGATGCTATTTTATTTCATTGACAAATATAAGGTGTTCGCCGATAACGAGGATGTTATGTGCAAATACAAGCAATTCGTGGCCGATTACGATAGAGCTACCACCTGAAACGAATGGAGGAAAAAACGAATTTTTTTGTCGGATCCATTTTGCTCATGACCAGTTGAACTTAAACAATAAACTGTATCTACGATACGGAAAAAAAAACATTATTTTACTTTGGAGTCAACGATAGTTGGCAACTTCTCCATTCTTCTCAGCAAATCAAATTATTTGATCACTCACATGCATTACGAATGACCAGTGCGAATGCACCAGAAGATAGAAGCATCCATTTGAGCGATTACTCTAGAGCTGATTACTGAAACAATAGTTCTACAACTAAACAGCTGGCACTTTTGACCACCATCTGCTGGTCAACCTGCTTGCGAGCTCACTTTCGTTTCAGTTAAAACTGTTCGTGTCATAATAAAGCAGAATGTTGTAACGCATGATGCAATTCTGCATGATTTTTTAATATTAACTAATAATGTAATGGCTTTTAAGACATAAGAATTTCTACAGTTTGCTTATCAGCAATGGTTGGAACAGGAGACAGGTTCTGAACCAATTTAAATTTTATTCTGTATTGCAGCTTAATTTCTAATTACGAACTGTTGAAATATTCGAGAGTTGAGTTTTCAAGAGTTATTTTTTCGCGAGATACGGTGCCCTGATTTTCGGAATCAGAGGATGACCATCTTCGTTCCTTAACAATCTGTTCAAACATATCTAATCAAAATGATTTATAGGAAGAAGCAAAAACTGATAAAAAGTTGCTGATCCTCATCTCAAAACTCAGTTTCCAATTGTAGGAGGACCTTTTACGACTATCTTCGGAAAATGACTGCATCTCTAATTACAGCATTCCAACTACCACATGTCATTAACTAGTGGGTATCACTGGAAGGTGATTTTCGGGCTATCCCTCCTTCCACACTTCATCTCTATTATAACAGCTCATTCACATATTAACGTGTGCGGACTCTCTTTGAGGACTCTGCGAAATTGTCAGTTTATAAATTTGCCACTTCAATATAAATATCTCTGAACAGGAAGAAAGTGCAGTT